TCCCTCCCCAGTTCCTAAATCTCCAAATCCCTAATCCCTAAAAGGTCGGCAACGCACTCGTAACCCCTTTGGTTTTGCGGACGGCGCCGATTGCTTACCATCAGGTAATCCGTGTGCTCGTTTGCCGACCTATCTCATTAAAAACACATGTCGACTCAATGTAAGAAATAGTATATTGTTTAATTCATAAAACCCCAAAGGGAACGCCGGCGTTCGTGTTCCTATTGTTCTTCAATCGTGTCTCGAATTACCACGGTTGGAAGGTCTCACTCACCTTTTAGTCGTCGTAATTTGAGGCACATAAGTAAGATAATAGGTGCGCGAACGCGTTCGCTTGGAGTTTTATGAATTACTAGTAGCTATTCCCGCGCGGTTTCACTCGCTGCTCGACTCCATTTGATTGTAGCGTGATGTTTTATAGCCCATAGCACTCTGAAACATTGAAGCTATCTATCAGTGAAAGAATTTTGGGAATCCTAGCCCAATCCCAGCGGTTCCAAAGATTACCTTCTACATACAAACTTACAAATTTTACCTCTTTATAATATTAGTATAGAAGAATCAAACAATGGGCCATTTTGTAAACTTATTGTTTGTAGTTAAAGAGAGACTATGGATGGAACCCTACATTAAATTTAAGTGTAACTCGGTTTATTATATTTTCTTTTTTATGTAATAGGTCGGCAAACGAGCGGACGGATTACCTGATGGTAAGCAATCAGCGCCGCTTATGCACACCCAACAGAGGAGTTACAAGTACGTTACAGACTTTTTGGGGATTAGTGATTTGGAGATTTAGGGATTGGGGGAGGGAAAGGATCGGGCCTCCGGTAACCTCACTCACACGGCGAAACACAACGCTGTGGTTGTTCCACGCCGATTTTGTGTGAGGCCGTGGTATCACTCCGGTCGAGCCGACTCATTCATGCCGAAGCATGGCTGTTTTTTTCTGTTATTTGTAAGATATTAATGTTTGGTCCTTGATGTATAGTTATTAAAATATTATAGTAATTATATTATACATAATATATTGTTATGTAGTTCTATTTGTAACACGGTAGTTTCCAACTAGTCATATTCAATACTTTTAGGTATCAAACACCCGGTTTCTGAAAGGCTTGTCAACAACGCTTAAATTAACTAATCTCCTGTTAAATCTCTTGTCAAGTCATCTGATTGGTTGTTGATAATTCAGTCAACCAATCAGATCACAGATGACTTGACAAGAGATTAAATACATTTTAACATTGATCGGCCTTTCGGAAACCGTTAGTCAATGTTAAAAACGATAGGTACCTACTTTTTCTATGAAATTTGTATGAAACCTCCAAATTATTACGTAATAGTATTTTTGCGTCAAATAGCTTACTTATTTCTTTAAAATTTGCTAAAAAAATATCGAAAATTTAATGTATCGACAGATCGATGAATAGAAGTATTTTATTGTATTTTCAATATTTTATTGTATTGAAACGTCGAATTAATTTAATTATTTTTGACCTAGGAAACTACCCAATTCATGTGATTTTTAATAGGTATATACTTAGATGATAAATAGATATACGATAATTGACTGAAATAGCTTTAAAATTGAGGTTAAGGTGTAAATAGGATTTGTTGTATTATTTTCGCGTTGTAAATATGTATGATAAACTTAATTTTAATTGTTTTAGGGCTGATTTTCCAATAGTCAGATAGTCAGATCTCAGAATACAGAGAGTCAGATAAATGTTATCTGTGGAATGAAATACGGTAGTTTCCAACTAGTCAAATTCAATACTTTTATCCAAATGTCAAAAACGATACTTTTCTATGAAAATTGTGTGAAACATTGAATTATGACGTCATAGCATTTTTGCGTCAAATAGCTTACTTATTTTTAAAAAATTAGTTAATAATATCTAAAACTTAGTATATCGATCGATCGATGAATAAAAGTATAGTTATTTTTCAATATTTTATCGTATTAAAACGTCGAATTAATTTATTTTTGACCTAGGAAACTACCCAATTGTAGCTGTCACTGTCTTATGCAAACATTCTGACGCGACAACATTATAATTATTCCCCAGGTAACTTTCATCTAACCATTGAAATATCGCTCCTAATTAATAAAAAAACAGTTCTGTATTTATTGTTTTATTATTTTACCAGCAGATTATTGTAAATAAAATCAACAACGTTTAATGAATTTGTTTTTTTCTACATTTATATTAAACCTCTCGAGCGCCATTTTCACATTACCTATAGCACGGCCGACGTATCTTGGCGAGTCTGAAGTTAGCCGTTTGTCTGCGCAATGGATCTTTTAGGAACAAAATTGTGTACTGCGCAGCTACTCGGCTAACTTCAGACTCGCCAAGATACGTCGCCGTCGGAGGTATTGTACGCGACAAACGAAAACTGTCTCTGGACGCCAATGTCACAAATAATATGTGACAGAAAAAGCGGCCTAAAGAAATACGAAAATAAAAGTTAACTTGAAATAGAAACTCTTTTTTGTGATAGGTCGGCAATCGACCAGGCGTATACTTGATGGTAAGCAATCAGTGCCGCCCATGGACAACAACAACAGAGAAGTTACGAGTGCTTTGCCGAATGCCGACCTTCTGGTGATTAGGTACGATACGGCCGCCGTCTCTTGGCGAGTCTGAAGTTAGCTGATTAGCTTCGCAGTACACAATTTTGTTCCTAAAAGATCCATTGCACAGACAAACGGCTAACTTCAGACTCGCCAAGATACGCCGGCCGTACTGTACCGCGGTTTCGGTTAGTGAAATAGCTTCACTGGAGGACAGACTGACATACTTAAAGTGCTTAAAGTACTCTTGAAATACTTCTTTCCTTTTTTTGCTTAACGTTCAAAAGTGCATACTGTGGTCTAATTGAAATAAATGATTTTGACTTTAGGAATTAGGAAGGGGAAGGATTGTGCCTCCGGTAACCTTACTCACACGGCGAAACACAACGCTGTGGTTGTTTCACGCCGGTTTTCTTAAGGCCGTGGTACCACTCCGGTCGAGCCGACCCATTCGTGCCGAAACATAGCTCACCCACACTTCTTGTTTATTTCTGTTTAAACATATCATGTAGTATTACAGATATTGAGAAATTTTACAAAAAAAGTATGAAATCAATTTATTAAGCATCCTCTATAAAAACAATAATTGTATTGATATACAACAATTTATTAAATTTCTAAGATTTTTATGTGACATTTCTAAGATAATTATTTTTATGTGATACATTTTTTTCTATGTTTTTTTTTTATGTAATAGGTTGGCAAACGTGCAGACGGGTTACCTGATGGTAAGCAATCAGCGCCGCCCATGGACAGCCGCAACGGAGGAGTTACGAGTGCGTTGCCGACCTTTTAGGGATTAGGGATTTGGAGATTAAGGGATTGAGGAGGGATTGGTGGAGGGGAAGGATTGGGCCTCCGGTAACATCACTCACACGGCGAAACACAACGCTGTGGTAGTTTCACGCCGGTTTTCTGTGAGGCCGTGGTATCATTCCGGTCGAGCCGACACATTCGTGCCGATGCATGGCTCTCCCACACTTATAATTTCTCTTGGACATGTTTCTTTATTTTCTTTGACTATGTAGTTTAATTTATATGATCTTAATTTTAGGTTGGATTTAATTGTTCATTATTCTCAAATGTTTGACATGTATAACAATATAAAACGCATTGGGTGTACACCTGTAAAGATTATATTGTAAACTTTTAAATCAATAAATAAAATAAATAAACAACCGAGGTTGCGTGGCAAGATCAGTCAGGGTTAATGAGGGTTGTCAGGTAAGCTCAATACCTATAGTATCTACCTCTGCTTCGGCCTAGAGCAGGAAGGGAAAGGAAGGAAGGTGTTTCGGTTGCGCCTTACTGTTTTCTAATAACACTTAGTAACAAATAAATTGAACTGTTATAACGATATTATCAGGCGCAACCTAATAGCAGTGGTTGTAAAATTATTTGGGGAACCATGCTTCGGCACGAATGAGTCGGGTCGACCGGAGTGATACCACGGTCTTACAGAAATGGCCCAATATCTCTCCTCCCTCTCCTCCATTCTCAATGCTCAAATCCTTTGATCTTAAATTCCTAATACCTACAAGAGGTCGTCAACGCACTTCTTGTAGCTTTTGCGGGTGTCCATGGGCGACGCTGATTGCTTCCCATCAGGTAATACGTAAGCTCGTTTGACGACCTATGTCATAAAAAATCTCTAAAATTTAGTTTAGTGTTATTGCGAAGCAATCATGCTCGCTAAGAAGGAGAAGAAGATGGAAGTGACTGCCCTTCCCTTACCGCAGGAGACAGTTTGGGCGTCGGGGATCGCTCGAAGATCTTCAAAAGAGAAAAGTAATCCAAAAAATCACCTTAAATAGCGATCAGACCAGCACTGATGTCCAGCAAGGGTCAGGGAAATACCCAGGGGTTTTATCTAGGCCCCAATCCCGAGAAGGAACGGTGCGGTTCTTAGTCAGTAAAAGTCTGACATTCCCTTTCACCCCACTTCGTAGGTACATTCAAGTTCAATGGATTTCCACTCTACATATTTAATCTCTAAATAAAGCGTAGCGTTTTGTTAAGAAGCGTATAACCTTCCTCATTAATAGGACTGAGAGATATAAAAAGATAAGAGCCTCATAATACGCCTAAAGAAAAAATATTGGTCAAACTATTTCACAATAATGTTTACAGAAAAAAACTAAAAGCTTCGAATAGCTGACCGTGCCAGTTCCACATATGAAAAGAAAACAAACAAAAAGCTCTTCACACTATTAATAAAAGCGTAACTAACTTTACGTAATAAACGTTCTTACTAAGCGACATTCACAAAAAATAGTTTCGAATTAAATAAATTGCTAAAGTCAATAGCGCCTTCGTAAACTTACATAATATATAATGTATCTTTCCCTTTCAAAATTAGATAAACCTGTGCACTATCAATCTAAAGGTTAGAGGTCAGAATTCTTGAATAGTTCTAAACAGTGTTACAACCTCCTTGCACTCAGTCGCTTTACGTGCGCCGCGTTAGCTCGTCCCTTTATTAGCGATCGATAAAGTAAAAACTGTCAAAAATTGGCGGGAAAAGATCGAGTGACATTCTATAATTTTTTTTCTTGAAACCCTTTTTTCTTGTGATTTTTTGCTGAGTTGTAAATAGTCTGCCTACGAAATGCATATTAAAATCAGTTTATGTTTGGTAAGTTTTGTAATTTTTAATATTTACTTAATTAACTAATAATAAATTTAAATGGTTGACAACTTAACAAATCACCAAGGACACAAAATAATGTTTTTTTTAATATCCAAGCTGGCTGTTCGTACAGAGACTATAATTGATGATTGATTGGTCGCATTAATTATAACAATAATAGTGACTAGCGCGGAAGGAAAGGGCTCGTATTCGATTCTCGGATCGGACAAAGTGTTATTTATTTAGCAGTATTAGAACATTTTGGGATTGTGTCCGGAATCCTATTTACGTATTAGGTATTAGGGCTGATTTAAATATATAAAAAGATACTGTGACTGAGTGACATATCAACGCACAGCCTAAACAACTAAACGTGGAGTTTCTTGCTAACGAATGGAGTTACTTGCTCGTTCTTCTCCATTCGAATCTACAATTTGGAATGAGCACCTAGCTTCACTGACGAACAGACTGACAGACTACTTTTCTATTTTGACGTTTCAAAAGTACCTATTTATGGTTTAGTTGGAATAAATGATTTTGACTTTGACTTTGACTTTGGACATCTGAAAAGAAAGGAATTCCCAAAATTCTCACGGGAACGGGAATTAGCTGGGAAAAATCATTTCTATGAAAAATGTGAACCGCGTAAGACAGATGGTGAAAAGTTCGCCCGCTAAATTTTTCATGATTTGATTGATTTGATACATAAAATACCTACTTGAAATTTCAAGAAAATTCAAGTCTGCTAAGTAAGTATACCAAAAATTACAGGCTTATTTTTTTACAAAATACTTAATAGTTTTTAGTCTTAGATATCTATCTACGTTAGTGTAGGTAAGCAGGTAGGTTTACGTTGTCTGCATAAATAATTAGGTAGGTAGGTATATATAAATAATTGGCTAAATTGCTTAGGTAATATACCTACCCAAAATAAAATTATTACGACAACGCAATTTTGTTAAAAAAAATAAAAATTTATAAACCCGCACACAAAAAACATAAGTTTCCTTTCAAAAGTGAAAATTTTGTAATGTAGTACACGTAATGCGCTTTCATTTGAGCATACTGCAACAACCGTTTTTAAAAATTTTTCATATAATATAAATATATACATAATTAAAAATAAGCTAAACTAAGCTTTTGGGTTCATACCCCAAATATAAAGGAAATCCCTTCATTCCCTTGCATCATTAAACAGGTCTAAGAACACTCGCCCGTAAAACACCTGTAATACAAAAAAAACTAAATTGAAATCGGTTCATTCCTTCAGGAGCTGTCTGACACACGTCAAACTTACAACACGCCTCTTTTTGCGTCGAGGGTTAAAAAATATAGATGCATACATATAGATAAACATTATCATTCACGATTTTACCCCGTGTCGTGGGTGTGGTGTGAAGGGAAACAAATGATGTCACAAACACATCACACCCAGACCCGGTAAAATAATTTGTGGATCACACAGAGTTGTTCCGTGTGGGATTACACGGCAGTCGATTGCTCAGTTTTTTTCGGCAAACGAGGAGACGGATTACCTGATGGTAAGCAATCAGCGCTGCCCATGGACACCCGCAACGGAGGAGTTACGAGTGCGTTGCCGACCTTTTAGGGATTACATCAATCCAGATAGATTTCATTTTTTGCTAGGGTTGCAGTTAGCGCATAAGTTACCGCGGCCTCGACTTGGAACAGTAGAAGGAACTGCGGGGTTTTTAGTCAGTAAGAGTCTGGCGTACCCTCTCTCCTTATAATAGGCGACAGATGACATTTCATGATTTTAACATAAAAAGGTAGGTTTGATTTGCAGCCAGGGTTGCGGGGCAAGTATAGTAAAGTATTGCGGCCTCGGATTGGACCGGGAAAAGAACTGAGGGATTTTTAGTCAGTTAGTCAGACTATCTCTCTCTCTTCCTCTCTCTCTCTCTTTCTCTCTCTCTATCCCTTTCGTAGTACCTTACTGATTGAAAAAGAGTAACCATGGAGTTTCTTGCTCGTTCTTCTCCATAGGAATCTACACTTTGGAACGAGTTAATAGCTTCACTAAGAGGGCAGATCGACAGACCACACTTTGTATCTTTAAGCTTTGTTTTACGTTCAAAAGTGTCTGTAAGAGATTAATTAAATGAAATAAATGATTTTGACTTTTATTTTACCCTGGGTGAGAGAGGTCGTCATTTTACCTGCCACAAAAAAGGTAGGTAGTTCAGAAAAAAGTATACCAATCGAAGTTCAGAGTAGATACACCTATCGTATACCAAAAAGTTCAGTTATCCAGCTAGTACTAAGCTATTATACTTATAAATTAATCATAAACATTAATAAATATATATGTTTAAATTTATTACCAAATGTTTACATTATACATACGTAAATAGATAAAGAATTAGTTAAATTTAAATATTTTAGTTTATAATGGGCGTGGCCGCCATTTTTATGCAGAAATAAGTTATACATTATCTGTGTCGAAACGTTTGACAGATTGTGACATACATACATACATATATTACCTTTATTGAAGCACTAACTGTCCGACCCGTTTCGCACGGGTCCAACTATATTGGGGTCACGGGTAACGGGTCCTTTTTCCCAAATTTCTTCTCTACTTTTTTAATAATCACTTAGATAAGGGCCTTCTCCTGACAATAAAAAAGAATTGGCAAAATTGGTCCAGGCGTTGTTGAGTTATGCGCTCACCAACCAACTTAAATTTTGCGAGTCATTTTTATAGATATAGATTGAATTCTGATAAATGGAAACTAGAACCACGTCGTGGTATCCCAGAAGGTAATGCGCCCGCTTCTCGAGCATGAGGGTTCGAAACTTAGGAAGTACCAATGTGACTTTTTCCGAGTTATATGTACTTTCTAAGATCATTTAGACACCACTGACAAACGGTGTAAGAAAACATCGTGAGGAAACCTGGATAGCCAATCCTTGAGCAAGCCTGGTGACTAATGCGTGTGAGAAGAGACCTTTGCTCAGCTGTGGGCGCTTATTATAATACTGTTTTGAAAAAGGAATTTCAGCTACTGCCCAATTACTGGTAAAAATATATATAAAATGCCACAAAACATTCGACGAAAAAAAAAACTTTATTGTTTATTTTATCTCTGGAACCTCTCCAATCCGTCAACTTAATTTTGGAATATTAGGCGTGGCTACATATCACGTTAGCAGCTTGCTCAACATCAAAAACATGGACCAAATGTCAGTCACAGAAATTTAAATAACACAAAGGTAGTGTCGACCGGAGATACCTTGACAAGTGTGGGACAGCCATGCTTCGGCACGAATGGGTCGGCTCGACCGGAGTGATACCACGGCCTCATAGAAAACCGGCGTTAATTAACCATAGGTTTCGCCGTGTGAGTGAAGTTACTAGAGGCCCAATCCATCCCCTCCTCTATTCCCTAAATCCTCAAAACCCTTATCTCTAAACGGTCATTACCATACTCATAAGTCTTCTCAGTTGTGCGGTTGCGGTTAACGATAGCTTACTATCAGGTAATCCGTCTGCTTGTTAGCCGTCCCATAATATTAAAAAAAATGACGAATTGACCACTCCCTTAAAAAAAAATACCTTTGTATAATTTCAACACCTGTCACTGTCAATTCGACGTCAATGTCAAAGTCATTATTATAATACTTTTATGATTTAGGTACATTCTGACAGGACATTACATTTTTATATAAATATTAATTAAGTATTATAATGAATAAATTATGTTAAACTAATTATTTGGAAGATATTGGAGGCCTATGTTTAATAGTAAACTTGTGACTGATATGAATAAGATTTTGCGACTTTGTTCGCCTGGAACAGTGACTTCCTGCAGATTTTTCGTATAAAAACTATCCTATGTCCTTTCTTGAGTTGCAAACTATATCTGTACCAAATTTCACAGAAATCGGTTCTGTAGTTTAGGCTTGAAGAAAAGACAGACAGACAGAGTTACTTTTGCATTTATAATATTAGTATAGATTAAGTAAAGGATAATTTGCATGTCGATATGTTTGACGCTTGTTCAATATCACATATTTAATATTTACACAATAATATTGAATTTAAATCAGTCTGTGGTTATAAGTTAATGGGAAATTAACTCAATGTGGTTTTTAGTTATTTATTTCGTTTGACTAAAGCGAAGTTTAAGTGTGGGAGAGTCATGCTTTGGCACGAATGGGTCGGCTCGACCGGAGTGATACCACGGTCTCACAGAAAACCGGCGTGTAACAACCACAGCGTTGTGTTTCGCCATGTGAGTGAGGTTACCGGAGGCCAAATCCTTCCCTTCCCCCAATCCCTAAATCTCCAAGTCCCTAATCCCTAAAAGCACCTAATAGGAAACGCACTCGTAACTCCTCCGTTGCGAGTGTCCATGGGCGGCGCTGATTGCTTACCATCAGGTAATCCGTCTGCTCGTTCGCCGACCAATTACATAAAAAAAGGTGTTCTCGTTAACAAAATAAGAATAGCATTTTCGATTTCTATGTTTTTATCTAATAGGTCGGCAAACTATAGGAGAAAGACTACCTGAAAGTAAGCTCGTGCCACCCATGTGCTGCCGCGACACCAATAAATTAGGTTTGTTGTAGGTATACTTGTGTTTGTAAAAAAACATCATTATTTTGTTCAAATTTCAAATAACTATCTAGCAGTCACGTTTTTGTAGATAGACACTATACATATCTCCCAATGATGTATAAAACTATAGATACGTTGTCCGCGCTCTAAAATGACAACATGAAATGAAGGCAATTGACAACATCGCGCTTAGTTACGCACCAACCTGCCGCGCGACGCTACGTTTGTTTTTAATTTATATCGTGTGTGAAACCTGTGCGAAAAATAAAGAAAGCATGTCGCCGTGTGTGTTCAGACGATGTACAAATTATACTCCAAAAGTTAAAGACAAAAATGTGTAATTTCATGCGTAAGTTCACCAAACAACCTATTTTTATTTTATTTTTTTCGACGCCGGCACCCGCCATCTTATGGCGGCCGG